GATATCACCAAAAATGCAATGACTTTTGCCATCTTCGTTAAACTACTCCTTCAAATTTGTCCAAATTTTGAAACCTACAAGTCAATTCTTACACCGATTCCATCTTTGTAGGAAATTATTACTTTGGATTGCTGGGGAAATTGGTTTATCAAGTCACAAAAATACAACAAAAATCGGACAAATTTAACACTTCTAGGCGTGAACAAAATCACTTTCCCAAAGTAATATTTCGACCCTAATATACATACCGGCATCACGAAATTACTAGGAGAGATACAACGAAGACAATCACAACAGTGTGTAGTATGTTTGTGATCTAATGTAATCAAACTTTGGGTAATTTATGATGATGATAATTGGAATGCAAAAAGGTTTTGTTCAAGCAAAATAGTAACTGGTTTTCTTCAATCTCCATTTTCATCATGTATAACATATATATATTAAGAGCAAAATATCAAGCCAAAAAACGAAGATTAACTGCCAGACTTCACCCGCGCCATACCGAGCGAGGCCGCGCCTACCAAGTGAGGCCTTGCCCTGCCGGGCGAGAGAAACCAAGCAACCCAGATAAATCTGGGTGCTCTCGAGCCCTGCCCGGCGACAGTGGCCTTGTTGGGCGGTTGACTTTGTTTAATCTTTATTTTCTCTTGCGCCTTGCCCGGTGCACCACGGGGCGGAGGACCAACTCTCTAAACTGATATACAAATTTCTCTTTTAATTTGCTTGTTTAATTGAATTGCAATACCTTAGTCTTTAGCCTAAGCAATTTAATCAGACACGTAAATATTTGTCACCAATACTCTAAATAATTCAACATAAAACGCTTAACACCTATAGCGGGTTTGCCTTAAAACTACTAAACCTCTAACGATACCATAGGAACGCGATTTTACCTATATAAGCCATGTAAAATTACGTCTTTTAATGGAAAGCTAAACGTCGCCCTCAGATCTCTAACTAACGCCCGCAAAATAACCTAAAATGTTGTACGTATCCTTGTTATAAAAATATTATAAAACAATTATTTTTACCTAAACCCTACACAAAATTTTTTACCGTTCTCTCTAGTGTTCACCGGCCACCAACGATCACGTTGAACCACCAACCACTGTAATTTTTAAAATCAAACAAATAATTTATATTTTGTAAAACCTAATTCATGGGATCCCATGAAAGACAACGAAAGACCGGAAACACCACCTACGTTGCTTGTCGGACCGTACGGAATCAAGACAATTACTTAACTTTTTTTTTTCGAAATTCCCAAGCAAACGCCCAGAAATTTTGAAAAACCTAGGCAGAAACGCCTAGTTTTTTTTAAAACCTTAGGCAATTTCGAAAAAACTAGGCGTTTCTGCCTGAGTTGTTTGAAATTTTTGGGCGTTTGCCTAGGAATTTCAAATTTATTTTCTTTTTGATTTTGAATTTCACGTATTCGTTATTATTATTATTTTGATTATATTAGTTGTGTTTGTTATTATAATTGGTAGTAGATAATTATTCTTGAGTGGAATTTTCCATATTCATGCATTTGTTAAAAGAGAAGGGAGTTGATGAAAATCATACGCATAACCAACCTAAGAGTTGTTGATGGTAGGGGTGGCAAAAACTGACCCAACCCGATAACCCGACACGAACCCGACCTGAAAATAGCGGGTTAGGGTTGAGATTTTCGACCCGAAAACTTAAATGGGTCGACACGAACCCGACCAGAAAATTAAATGGGTTAGGTTAAGGTTGAAATTTTCAACCCGAAAATGACCCATCTGACCCGAAAAATAAATCGAGTAATTATCAGGTTGGGTCAACCCGAATCTGACTTAATAACCCGAACACATTTAAGTTTTAAAAAAATAAAAAATAAAAAATTCAAAAAAAAACCCTAAAGAAACCTTTAGCCCAACCCAAATTCACAAAGAGCCTCCCTTATAAACTCACAAACCCTAAAATCATATCTTTTTTTCTTATTTCTTCCAGCCGTTATTCTACCCTTCTCTCTTTCTCTCTCTTCAATCCTTAATATCCTCTCCATTGTTGTTTTTAACTTTGAAGCTACTCTAAACTCCATTAAAGCTTGTCGATTTACCCCACTTCCACATCGTCGGTCTAACTTCAATTCATCATCGATCTAACACAATTTGTTTCGTAACTTTGAATTATTTATTTATCTATTTTAGTTTGAGTGTGGTTTATATCTTTGTTACAGATCGAAATAATTTCTCTAAAATTATGTTTGGGAGTTAAATATAGTTAGATTATTGGAATTTTACATAACTTATGCTGAATATATGTATATACTTCGTTTTATTTTGTGATTTAATTAGATGATGCATGCACAAGATTCGGATCAATATATCTTATGCTTCTTGTACTATACTTGTATTTTGTAATTTGTTATTTCTAATCCTACATTATGAATTCCATTTAGTTTGTGATTTTAGATACTTCATAATACGTTTGTAAATGTAAATTTATCTAAATTAAATCAAAACTATCCTCTTATATTTTTTTTTAATAAATAATAAAATTGGTTGAAAAAATCAAGTCAAATCAGGTTGACCCGAAACTGACCCGAACAGATCAGGTTTGGGTCAAGCATTCTGACCCGAAAAACTAAACAGGTCAGGTTCAGGTTGATGCTTTTTGACCCGAAACCGAACTGACCCGAACACGAAAGTGACCCGACCTGATCTATTTGCCACCCCTAGTTGATGGTGTAATAAAATTCTCAATTGTTTATATGTGCGTGATCACACCTTTTAGTTGTTATTATAATTAGTTGTATATTGTTAGAATTATTATTATTATTATTAGTTGTTATTATTATTAATTGTGCGTTGTTAGAATATTATTATTAATTGTGTTTTTGTTGTTTCTCAACTTTTATTAATATTTGTTTTTATTGTTATTATTACTTCCTCCGTTTTTTTTTATTGCATCATAGGGGTTTTGGAGGCAAAATTTGGTAGTGGGAAAAAGTAAGAGAGAGAAACGTAAAAATACAAAATTGTCCATGTAATGTAAGATAAAATAAAAAGTAAGTGTGAAAAAGTAAGGGTATGTTGGGTATTTGCAGTGTGAACATAGATATTTTTTATCCTAAAAAGGAAATGATGCAATAATAAGTAAACTTCCTAAAGTAGTAAGTGATGCGATAAAAAAAGAACGGAGGAAGTATATAAGATTTTGAGCCCGAGAATGGTGATGGTGTGGACTATAGTGGACATTTTTAGACAAACACTGTGTTTTCGAGTTTTGAGGATGCTTTTCTATGGCACAAAATGTTTGCCGATCGCTCGGATTTATGTTAGTGAAGGCTTCTTACAAGACCGATCGAGTGGTCGGACGTATCGATTTGTGAGTTGTGATCGTGGAAAAAAGAGCATGATAAGAGACATGATGAGCACGATACACAAAGACACGAAAAGGAAGGCAAACAATTGTCCCTTCAAACTCAAGGTTGAGTATGTCAGAGTAGTAAGTGTTTGGAAGCTCAATTGCTTGAACGTCACTCACAATCATTCTTTGGTTGTGTATCTCGAGGGACATCGACAAATCAGCGGCCCTAGTCTTGCTGCTAAGCAGGTAGTACGTGACATGACTCAGGCACAGGTGCCACCTCGGCATATCATGAGAACTTGTAGAAAAGTTTCTCGAAGACCATCCAAACATCAGGCATGTCTACAACTACAGAAGTAATATCAAAATGGAGCGATTTGAGGGAAGAGAGGTGGTTCACCAGGTGCTTCATTTGGCCAGACAGAGCAAATACCTCACTTGGGTTATGACTGATACCAACAATGTGTTGCAACATGCTTTCATGGCACACTCGATCATGACAAATTTGCTACGCACATACCCGTACGTGATAGGTATGGATTCCACTTACAAGACTAACCGATACAGCATGCCATTCTTTGAGATTGTTGGGGTTACACCGACAAATCAAAACTTTCTTGTTGCATACGCATTCATGAAGTCGGAGTCCGAAGAAAGTTATCTGTGGGTGCTTCAGTGCTTGAGGTTGTTTATCGGTCATCATAGAGAGTCGTCGGTACTACTGACAGATAGGGAGCTTGGCCTTTGTGTATCGTTGAAGAGCGTGTTTCCAAACACATGACACATGTTGTGTGTGTGGCATATTAACAAAGATGTTGATGCGAAGGTTACTTCCATGTTTGAAAAAAGAAGGAGATTGGTGCCAAGTTCAAAAATGGGAGGTGGAGGCATGTGATTAATGCTACATCTGAAGAGGCGTATAAAAGAGAGCTTGTAGAGCTGAAAACCAAGTGGGGTCGATGGTCGAAAGCGATTGACTATGTTGTGGACACTGGCTCATACACAAGGAGAAGTTTGTGATGTTTTGGACGAACTAGGTACTGCACTTCGGCAATGTTAACAACTGTAGGGTTAAGAGCCAGCATTCGGCATTGAAATGTTGGATTGACAGTTCTACAGGTTCTTTAAACACAGTTTAGGCTCAGGTACACTGCTCGATTGAGAACCAGATCATAGCCATTCGTAATGGGTTGGAGGCATGTAGAGCAACTCATGGTCAAAATTACAAGCAGAAGTCTTTGCATCAGTTGAACGGAAAGGTATCCTACTATTGTCTGTCTTTTTTTCTCGGTGAGACGAACATGATGCGAGGTTTGAGCACCGTTGTCCATCGACATTGTGGGTGTGTTCTACGTACTACCCACGGGTTACCTTGTGCGTGCCAAATATATGACTCGATTACTGCAAGGAAGGGGTTGTATACGATTTTTTTTAAAAAGGGTAGAAACGCCCACTTTTTTCGCTAGATCTAGGCTGAAACACCTAGATCTTTCGAATAACCGTATGGGTGATCGAAATTTCTAGGAGTTTCAGCCTTGATCTGGCGAATTATTTGGGCGTTTCCGCCAATTCCAGAAAAAAAAAACCATGTCTCTGGTGACTCCTTCGACGATGACCTTCCCTTTGTCCCTTAGCATATCCACGCAAAATTATATTGCGCTAGTATAAGGAGGTGGTGTGGGTTGGTAAATGATGGTTTAAAGGATGAAAATTTTTAAAGATAGAGAAAATTAATGATGGCCTTGAATTCTGATTGCGGTAAAAGGTGGTGGGGGGTTAAAATTATCATTGTAAAGGTAATTTTTTTTTTAATGTATATGAGAGTAAATTCGTAAATATATTTTATTTTACGGGCGTTAGTTAGAGATTTGAGGGCGGTATTTAACAACCCCTTTATTTTCCGCGCTTTTACGACACCATCACACGCATACTCTCGAGCATACTCATTACCGGAAAACCCTGTCGTCTTCTCGCATCACCACTGTAACGTCTTAGTAGCAGAGGAGAGACAAAAATGGTGAAGGTACGTATGAACACGGCCGATGTAGCCGCCGAAGTGAAATGCCTTCGAAACTTGATTGGTATGCGATGTTCCAATATTTACGACATCTCTCCCAAGGTATCTTTCCTTATTCCTATATCAATTTCAATTCACTGTTCTTCAATAATTTCGCAATATTTGAAACTGTAACTATATTAATTTCATTAAGAATCTGGTTGTATTTTTCAATTGCAGACTTATATGTTCAAGTTGATGAATAGTAGTGGAATTACAGAATCTGGGGAGAGTGAGAAGGTTTTGTTGTTGATTGAAAGTGGTGTTAGGTTGCATACAACTGAATACGTCCGGTAATACGAACACCGCCCCGTGATTGAGTTCGAGGTTTTATGAGGGTTTTGCCCTGGTTTTATTGACATATTTTTTTGCCCAATTGGATTTTTGTAGGGATAAGAGTAATACACCATCTGGGTTTACTCTAAAATTGAGGAAGCATATTCGCACTAAAAGGCTTGAAGATGTCAGGCAGCTTGGGTATGATAGGGTAAGGAGATTTGTTGCTTCATTTGTGTATGTGATTGTGTTTGAATGGATTGTTTTCAGTTTGAGTAATCCTAAGTTTTTCGTCGAGATAGATAAAACAAGCATATCTTGGCTTTGAGCTTATAATTGAAGGTGTTGAATATACAGTGAAGTAGGTTAATGTGTCCTGTATTTTTGCAAGACTAATTTCAATCGACGATTAAGTTAAACCTCGTTGCCTCCTCGTTTTTTTTGTCAATTATATGCTCTTTTATTTATATTTTTTTGTGCTGCCAGATTATTGTTTTCCAGTTTGGATTGGGTGCCCATGCGTACTACATCATATTGGAGCTTTATGCTCAAGGAAACATTATTCTTACTGATCCAGATTACACTGTCTTGACTCTTCTTCGGTCTCATAGGTAAGTCACTCTTGTGTTCATTACTATCTGTATCTGCATATTTTAGGTATTTTGAGATCTAAAAAAATAGTAAACCCTATCTGAATAAATTATGGTGCAATTTGATGTGAAATATAGAAGCTTAGGGAACGATATCAACCCACTATTCTTGAAAGCAGTACTCATTCCTCGTACTAAATTTATACTAGATTGATGATAAATCTTTTTAAATTCTTGTAACCTTTTCTAATGTGAGTGTTCTCTTGGCAAAACTATGCTCTTCAATGATTATGTCAGTTGCCATAGTTGATAGATTGCCTTACTTTTTCCATTTTCTTATTTTTTTCCCCCTTGTGTATTGGTCTATTGAAGGTGACTCCGCTATGCACAATGGCTTACCTTTAATGTTAAAGTTATAGGTTGTAATATGTGCATGGACCATGGTGACAACTCGACAAGTAGCCTGCATGATTTAATAATTGATGGAGGTTTTTGTGATGCAATTACATTACTGGATACCATTGTTATTAAAGTCCCTAGAGATTTCTGATTGAATTGATAAAATTTAAGAAAACATAACAACCTCTTCAAACATGAGCTATTATATCTTATGTTGTTATTTATGTATTAAATTAGGAGATATATCTTCCTTCAAAAAAAAAAAAGGAGATGTATCTCTCCATTTCAAAGGGATGGTGAAATTTAATGCTAATCAGTTCTGGATGTTTTCTTGACTTGTTAGTTTTCTCTCTCTAATTTTCTAAATATTTTTGAAGATTTATGGTGCCCATACCAGTTCAGGACTCTGAATTTTGTATTTTTGAACTCTACAATTTATTCTTTGGTGCACTTGTAAAAAAAGCAACAGATTTTTGGGTATAGCTTCCCCTTGTCAAGGTTTTGAGTTCCAAAATTTGTTGTTTTTGTATAACTGGACTCAACTAATAGCTTATGAGCAATTGAGCATTACTTGACTTTTCTTGATTTTGTCGATACATCATGATTGCTTGAGGACTACAGCCTTTTTCCTTAGACCTCATTCTGTATACGAGTGACACCCCCTTAAAACACCCTTCCCTTCAACCGATTCTCTGTTCTGCTACTGAGCTATTAATATTTCAACAGAGATGATGATAAAGGTTTTGCAATCATGTCGCGGCACCGATACCCAATTGAATCGTGTCGAAAATTTGAACGAAGCTCCCGCATCAAGCTGAAGGAAGCTCTTGCAGCTTCATATGATCAGGGTGGTGAAGATGAGGAAATCAAAGCTGCCAAAGATGGAGGCACAGTTTTAGACACATCAAAAGTAAAACAAAGTGCTAAAAAGGGTGGAAAAGTTCCTGATTCGAACAAGACTGGAAATGATGGCTCTCGTGCAAAACAGCGAACTTTGAAGATAGTCCTTGGAGAGGGATTAGGCTATGGTCCTCAGCTGTCTGAACATATTATATTGGATGCAGGTTTGGCACCAAGCATGAAAATTTCTAAAGATAACAAGCTGGATGAGGATATAGTTGAAATTTTGGGCCAAGCTGTGAGCAGGTTTGAGGATTGGCTCGAGGATGTTATACATGGAACTAAAGTTCCTGAAGGATACATACTAATGCAAGCAATGAAACCAGGGGGAAAGGACTGTGTTACCTCAAAGCCAGAGAGTTCCAGCAAGGTCGTCCAATAGTTTCTTTCATTTGGTTGATGTATTGACTCTTGTATTTTTAGTATTGATAAAAAGTAACTCGTTAAATTTTTATTTGTAGTGTTTAGGATTTCTATCATCTTTTTAAAAATGTACAATTTATTCACATGTGACATTTACATCTCTTTTGCTCTTTTGCATGCAGATATATGATGAATATTGCCCTATTTTACTAAATCAATTCAAATCACGTGATTGTTTGAAGTTTGAAACATTTGATGCAGCTTTGGATGAATTCTACAGTAAGATTGAGAGTCAGAGATCTGAGCAGCAGCAAAAAGCAAAAGAAGGATCTGCTATGCAAAAGCTCGATAAAATACGCATGGATCAGGTGTATATTTATTTCTGTACATGCTGTCTATACTTTCAAGATGGTTATATTGATTTGTGTTTTATGTGGAGAGCCTTATTGTTCAAAACCCTTTTTCATTTGTCATGTTAAGGATAGTCAGACCCTTAGTTACCAAGGATAGTAATTGCAGGGGAGCAGGAAAGGAATTTGTGGTTGAAATTAGGTTTATAAATCTTGCTTTGAATTCCTCACTTATTTTGTGTATATGATATTGTTTTACATTCTAAGAAGTATGAGTGGAGTCTTATGGATGGAGGTCTTCTTCTTCCTGCTGAAAATAATTGATTATATGCTTCCTGCTCATGACTTGTTTTTGAACTTGACCAGTGGAATTTTTTAAGAATAAAATACTCTGATTCTTAAAAAAATCTCTGATTTATGCATTTATTGCATAGTTGACACTTAATGTGTTCAATTGTTTATGTTCTGAAGTCCAGTTTAAAATGTTAGTTTTTCTTTCTCTCATCAAATCTGACATACCAGTCATTTAGATTATGTTATTCTCCTGTTCTATGTTTGCTGGAGCTAAGAACTGCTGGCTTACTTTTGTAGGAAAATCGTGTGGTCACTTTGAGAAAAGAAGTTGAGCATTCTGTTAGAATGGCACAATTGATTGAATATAACTTGGAGGATGTTGATGCTGCTATCTTGGCTGTCCGTGTCGCTCTAGCAAATGGTATGAATTGGGAAGATCTTGCACGTATGGTGAAGCAAGAAAAAAAATCTGGAAATCCAGTGGCTGGTTTAATTGACAAGCTCTATTTGGAAAAGAACTGCATGACGCTTCTGTTGAGCAATAATCTTGATGAGATGGATGATGATGAAAAGACATTTCCAGCAGATAAGGTAAAATAAGTTACTATATATCCCAAGATTGTTTTGCATACAGAATTGCAAAATTTTGTTTTAATCTGATTTTGGAGGATCTTTGATAAGGCTCATAGGGTCCCGGCCCTCCACAATTTTTTTTGAGCTGTTCAATTGATATAAAGAATTTATTGCTTAAATATGGATAGTAGTGTTTGAAAAAGCGCCCCTAAGGCGTGCCTAGGCACTGAGGCGCAAGGTGTTAGGGGTCATGCGCTTTTTGTGGTCTAGCGGAAGCGATTTTGATGAAACGCAGCTAAAGTGCAGCAAGGTGCATTGAGGAGTACCCCCGAGGTGCACAACAATTTTTCACAATTTTTAATTGTTTATTACATGCGCTTCGATGAGGCGCATGGAAGCGCACTGAGGCACTCCTTAGGTGCAGGAAACTCTGAAATGCCTTGGTGTGCTTTGAGCTTTTTTTTATATTGATGTATAGAAAATGTTTAATCACAATAATTAAATATTTACACTTCTAACTAGAGGCTGAAGGTTCAAACCTTGACCTCCGTACTTTTTTGGTCTAAGATCCGCCACTCTTATGTGAAGCCAGTACTAGTTTCATATTGGTTCTTGATTTCTAGTTTTGACATCACTTTTCACCAAACTTATTTACTTCAGTTAGTATTTTCTTCCCAGGTACTAGTATGTTTTTAAAAGTCCGAGTCCCTTTTTCTTTTTCTCATCTTTCTCTTTTCCAGGTAGAAGTTGATTTATCCCTCTCAGCGCATGGTAATGCTCGTCGGTGGTATGACATGAAAAAAAAACAAGAGAACAAACAGGACAAGACTATTACCGCTCATGAAAAGGCTTTTAAAGCAGCTGAGAGAAAAACACGTCTCCAGCTCTCAAAGGTACCTCAAGTCCTGTATCTTATTGGTCATTTAGTATCTAATTATAATCTTATTATTTCTGGATTATCAGGAAAAAGCAGTCGCCACAATATCTCATATGCGTAAAGTCCATTGGTTTGAGAAATTCAATTGGTTCATCAGCAGTGAAAACTATTTGGTTATCAGTGGACGTGATGCTCAGCAAAATGAGATGATTGTTAAGCGTTATATGTCAAAAGGGGATTTGTAAGTATTAATTCTAATATTAGCTTGATTTGCATAGCAAAATGTGACAGAGGTTTGGCTGCTGGTTATTCTTTCTCAATTCCTTCATATCCTTGAATGGCTTGTGATCATTTGTGAAATATCAATGACCTTAATGTAGTAAAAATCATCCAATAGAATCTTTAAATTTTTTTATTTCCTCGCCTCAATCAGCTTTGGTTTTTTTTTTTTTTTTTTTTTTTTTTTTTTTTTTTTTTTTCCCCCCTGTAAGTTAAGCTTTTGCTATTGATCTTACTGTTAATAAGATCATTTGTGCTTGATAAAATGTATAATAAACCATGAACTTAGTGGTTTTTCTATTGCTCTCTTTAACAAAAAATTTCATCTGTCCCAAATTATATGATATACAAGCGATAACTTTGACCATTGATTCCTCTGTCCCAAAAGTAAACATTCTCATTACGATATTTGGATCTCCCATATGAATCCTTCTTTTTCTTTTAAGTGAATAATTATGGCTTATATGAGTTATATCTTACCCCCCCTTTTTATTTTTCCTCATTTCATCACATCCAGACTTTTCCTCTTTTTAATAACTCTTACCGTTATTTTGTCCCCTTCAATTCCATTTTTTTCTCTACATTTAACCACTTATATTAAAAGCCATGCCAGTCAACTAATCAACTATGAAGTTATCTTGGGGATGGGGGCGTTTAATTTCTTGTGAGAAGGGATAGTCAGAAAAAAGTAAACAAATACACCCTGATTTGCGTATACTGCTGAGAAGTAAAAAGTTACTTGTGTCATATTAAAGTGCGAGGAAAAGTAGATGAGGTCTCATTCTTAAATAATGTAGATGTGTGTAAACTTGACTGGGACAACCTACAATGGAAAGCGTGTACACCTTTGTGGGATGATGTATAGTTCAAGACAAATGAAAAGAAGGGAAAACCTTACTGGTGTCTTTGAATAGTGGAATCCATAATTTTTTTTTATCAAAAAGTACATCTGTGTGAATGAAAGCTTTCTTGAGTGTATAAAAGCATGCTTTGCTATTATCCCCTTTGACTGCACTGATATTGTCTGTTAAGATAATTTGAGCATTAATATATCATAATTTTGTAACAGGTATGTGCATGCTGATATGCATGGAGCTTCAAGTACTATAATAAAGAATCACAAGCCGGAGCAGCCAGTCCCCCCTTGACATTGAATCAAGCTGGAAGTTATACTGTAAGTTGATCTATCAGTTAAGATTTTTGCATGTACTGATTAATTTATGTATGTAAACTTGGACTCATTATCATCTTCTCTTTATCAAAGGTTTGCCTCAGTAAGGCATGGGACTCAAAAATTGTTACTAGTGCTTGGTGGGTCTACCCTCACCAAGTCAGTAAATCTGCTCCGACGGGAGAATATCTTACAGTGGGAAGTTTCATGATACGTGGAAAGAAGAATTTTCTTCCTCCCCATCCTCTTATAATGGGTTTTGGTATGTTGTTCCGTGTGGATGAAAGTTCTTTAGGATTGCATTTAAATGAAAGACGAGTTAGAGGTGAGGATGAGGCATCAAATGCTCTCCAAGAAAATGGGAACGTGGAAATATCTGACTCTGACTCAGATAGTGTAGCTACAGAGCACAATTTAGAGAAAGATAATGATAGGAGCATAACTTCAGAACTCTTAGAAGGATCATTGAGCCATAGTTCTGCTCAAGATGACAGTATATCCTATCCCAAAACAGAAGTTCTAGAAGAATCTGGAATTAAGAGTAATTCTCCTTCTCCAGTACATGATTCTGAAGGAAAGAAAAATTCTGCTGTTTCAGTTCAACTAGAGGATCTCATTGATAGAGCTCTTGAGCTTGGATCTGGTGCTGTCTCTGGTAGAAGTTATGAACAGACTTCGCAACTTACTAAATCTGAAGAATTAAAAACTCAAGAGAAAACAGTATCTATCAAAGAGAAACCTCATATTTCCAAAGCTGAGAGGAGGAAATTAAAGAAAGGCCAGAAAATTGATGATGAACAGACAATTGATGTGCAAGGAGAAGTAGATGAAGGTCATTCTTCAACCATTAAGTCTGAAAACAAAAATTTATCTGCTGCTGGTGGAAAAATTGCTCGTGGTAAGAGGGGTAAGCTTAAAAAGATGAAGGAGAAATATGCAGACCAGGATGAGGAAGAAAGGAGCATTCGAATGACTCTACTTGCGGTAAGTTGCATAAATTTATTGGTATTATTCTGTAGTTGCATTGGTAGATATGACACAATTGTACTTTGTGCCCTAAATTTGTGTGGTATGTTAATCATTTTATGAAGAAGCTCACTTCTTGCTGACAAGCTATTTCTGACCTAATTCAAGTTAAAAGAAAATATGCTTAAATGTGAATCTTTGAAAGCCTTACAGATTGGGAATAAGCTGGTGACTTTTTGATTGAAGTTCATGAGACTTTTGTATAACCATACTGATCTATCAGTATCTGTCTTTTTTGCTTCTCTGATAGATATAGTGCCATTTATTGTTGTTTTATTTTAGTTTTTATATTTTTTTATATGTAAGAATTGTGTTTTTTTTGCCCCTTTGGTGCCTAGTTATAGTCTTTTTTTGCCTTTAATATGTTAGGCACTATTGATTGTCATGCTTTAGAATTTTACTGAACGTATCTCTTTGTGCTGTCATTTGTACTCCAGTAGATTACTTGTGCATAGGCTTCATCATGACACTTGTTTGTAATCTTAAAATTTAGTTATATCATATATTAACTTGAAGGTACCTCCTATCCAAATTTGAATTCAAGTTTTTCCCCTCCCAATTTAGTGTTTTAGATACCCATCATACCAAACCTTTCCTACTATAATTATCTTTATTGAGGTGCTCAAAGGGAATTTGGGATGTTAAACAAAGTTATACGGAGTATTGTGATTTGAGAAAGAAATCATCTTACTTTACTAGAACATTGATTGATCGTTTGGTTGCAAACTGGCAGATCTTGGATATTACTGTGATAATCACTTGTTTACCCTTTGTTTGAGGTCTTACGTTCCAAATCTATGGCTTCTAGATGAGAAGTGATCATTCACTTGCCTGATAACTGTTACCCTTTGTTAGTTCTAGGCAATATTTTGTATTGATTACCAATTACTTCTTGGTATCTTATGGCATATTAGTTTCAAATGGAGAGAGAAATGATAGAAAGAATTGGACTACTACTATATCATTCTTTCATTAGATTGGTGGTAAATTTTACAATTTTTTTTATCGGAAAGGGCTGAAGGTTTCAAGTCTTGGCACCCTTGTTTCATTCTTTACAAGTTACATGGTAAAGATTATAGGGAGCACAGGTTAATCACCTTGATAAATACAGGTTGTTTATTCGGTGGCATAGTTGTAATATATTGGTATAAAACCGCTTGTAGTGTTAGCAGCTTTACCTATAAACTGTTCAATATTACGTGATTTAATTACAAGTTTGCCACTTGATTTACATTCCGAGTTTATCAAGGAGATAAAATTGTAATTTCTTATAAGGAATATGAGGAAGGTCAATGCACCTGTGCCACGTGGCAAGGATTCCTGAAAAAAATGTATATTTGATACGAAATATAATAGTGTATATTCTTTTATTTTATTTTTCTTATATTCACTTTTCATGGAATTTCAGTCCGCTGGAAAGGCACTGGATGACAAGAATGAAAATGATGCCCAAGATCAAAATATGGCAACAAGCACAAGAAAGGAACTTCATGGCGGTATGTCTTTACTGGTTTGATTATATATGTGTCAGATGTTACTCAGCTGTCTGAAATGCTGTTGATACTATGCTACAATAAATCAAATGTTTATTTTTTATTTCATTATTAGAAGAGAATTTATGCATCAACAGCTTTCAGGGAGTACCAAATGGATCACATGCGGTATTCAATTGGAAGAATCCTTTGCATCTTAATTCAGTTTCTTGGGGTCCACAATGGAGTAATTCTTGATTTAGTTGAAGTGTCATGTAGCTAGCAGTTTAGCCGCAAGGACAAAGTATAATTTACCCTATCCAATAGGAAATGCCATGATAAGATGGCTCCCACAACAATACGCAAATTATGTTCTGATCACATACCTGAAGATTGCCGTAAAAATATTGTGCCGCAGCAATTTCTTCCTATTCAATCCACAGTCCATACCAATCTATTCTTCTACTAATCTAGAATGAAAAGGAAGAGTGTTGTTGGGGGGGGGGGTTGGCAGGAAGGACCCAAGATTCGCTTTGCACTGCAAACAACCTCCGTCCGAAGATAGCGACACTTGATAATGAAGAATGACATGCTAGCAAGTCTCACTGCTATCCAGATTGGCCTTTGCTTTTGGAGCATAATTATTATAGTGATATAGCGTTAATCTTTCCCAGTGCCAAAGCACCAAGGCCACCAACAAATGCTCTCACCTAGGTGGAACCCATAGCCTTTCAAGTAAAACAGAGTTGCTGAGGTAAAATTAGACTGTAAAAAGAAGGCACACATTAAAAGGTTCCTGACCAATCATCCATCTTCACCCTAGAAACTTCCACTTTAGATTATTGATCCTTTAGTTTAAACTTTTAAGTGAACTACTTTGTCTTCTTGTCATTGGGGGGCCTCCATAGGTGAAAATTCCAAGCATGACATTGAAAAACGACACAGGAGCTTGAAGCAGTTTTGCTTGTTAACTACTCCATCCATTCAAGTTTTCCAGTCATATATACTATTCTTAGATGTCTAGAAATAACTGTAATTTCCTAAAAAAAATTTTGTTTGTGATTGCTTTTCTTAACTTGCCACAGCTTAATTAGTAACAGGGAGAGGATAGTTATTATACTATTATAGGGTCATTTGTAAATTTATGTTGTATCCATACTTCTCTAGTTATGAAGGTTTTTAGGAAAATGTGACAATTAATTACGGAAGGAGGGAGTTATTATTTAGGATTATCGCCTGTTGTGACTTGTGAGCAAATGAAGCAGGTATGTGACCGGTTTCCTATCTTTATTTATAAAGTATTCTGGGGGTGTGGCTATAGACATTATTAGATTTGGATAAGAAAAAAGGATATATTTTTTTCATTAAAAGTTGAAAAACGAGAATATCAATTATGAGGGCAAGGCTATTATTAACCCAGTTGTATTTCCTTATTTTGGAACCTCCCCAATCAGCCAGGTAACTCTTGATAGCCCAAGGCCCCAAGCCACCTTAGCCCATAGTAAAGCTATGTTATTGACCTTATTCCACAATAAATTAGAAGACAAAGCAACTCGTGAAGTCGTGAGTATATCTGGGAGTTTTGTTCTAATTACACGCACCACATAATTTCCATTAAAGCATTGTGCCATAAGAAATTCTTCTTCTTCTCCTTACCAAACCCCTCAATTAAATTCACCTCTAAAGAGAGCTCCTTTATCTGCCTATCATGTGGTGGCCTTCAAAAATGTAACTCCCTTGATTTATCATAATAGTAAAAATCATGGGCATATAATCAATGGATTTGAACACAAAGTCTGCTCTCCCCTCCAAATCTCTTCCCAAAATTGAATACAACTATTCCCTACCTTGAACCACAGCATAGGACTGCAGATTGAACACTTATGAGATGAACATCCAAGGAAAACTTTAAGAGCTACCCATTTTGATGCTAACTATATTTGTATTTGATGGCTTGAGAAACTAGTGGAAAACCGCCACACACATTTCCCAGAATTGCAATGTATATGGACACCACTTCACCAAAGACTATCCCTCCTACCTTTGTCTGGCTAACCAATTTCAGCCCATATAATTATATGTCCCCACATCACTAGATCTAGTCCACAAAATATTATTTCCTCATTCTCTATCTTAATTGCAACAGAAACCAGGATCTTGAATAGAGAGAGATAGACATATGTCATTGGATCAGGTCAAAGTTATTCTTCCTGATGGGTGGACCTCGTGGAAGGTCTACTAAATTACAGAGCTGCAAACTATTGCCAAAAGCAATAATCTCAAGTTTCGCCCCTGCTAAGCTGCATGCCTGATTGCCTACACTTAAAAGAGGTTGATCTTCAAACCTGAAACCACCTCAAAATTTTGTAACAACTTTTTGACCCCAAAAAAACAAAAAGTATCATCTACATGTTGCAAAATGGGAAATCTGCATCTCTTCCCTCCCCATCTTAAAATCTTCAATCTCAGCCTCCATCACTCTCCTCTCCAACATTCTCCTTGGAACATCCACCACTAAAGTGAATAAATTGCCGTAATCCATAAGCTTATAAGAATCAAACACCTCCGCCGATCACTGAACCAATTATTTACAAGAACAACATCAAGGGAAATCTGCATCTCTTCCCTCCCCATCTTAAAATCTTCAATCTCAGCCTCCATCACTCTCCTCTCCAACATTCTCCTTGGAACATCCACCACTAAAGTGAATAAATTGCCGTAATCCATAAGCTTATAAGAATCAAACACCTCCGCCGATCACTGAACCAATTATTTACAAGAACAACATCAAGGGAAAATAGAACTCGAAATACAAAACTCAAGCTTATCAGGGATTCAGTAATCAGGTGCCTTTGATTTATTGAATATGCAAAACTTAAGCTTTTTGGATACAAAGCTGTTTTCTTAGATAAGGATAAGTAATAGAATCAGATAATGCATTGATAGGCTAGGATTGATCAAGCATGCAAACAAATAGTTGGCTTCTCGGTATACATCAATGCCAGTATGCTTCAGCAAACATTTTTCTGCCTTACATATAGAATTACATGTGGAATTGTTGTGCTTTTGGTTGATGTTGAACAAATTGAGCTTTTGGGATACAAAGCTCTTTTCTTAGACAAAGATAGAAAATAATATCAGGATAGAGCATTGATATGCTAGGATTGATCAAGCATGCAAACAAATAGTTGCCTTCTCAGTATACAGCAATGGTGGAGGAGGAATATGCTTCAGAAAACGTTTTTCTGCCTTACATTTATAGTTGCTCGTGTTTGTCCATTGTAAGAGCATCCACAATGGCTAGCTACATGTACGTGTAGCTAAGGGTTGCCACATCATTATTTCTCAAGCTACATGATTTAAGCTACAACCTCTACAATGGCAAGCTACTTCTTTTGTAATTTTATTATGTCCCACATGATGACATAAAATAAATAAATATATTAACAAATACATAAAATATATTAAACAAATAAATATAATAGCATTGGGTGGAGTGAAACTACATAACTCTATAGAGCTATGTAGTTTGGCTTAGCTACAAGAGGTTGTAGCTCCACAATGGCTAGCATGTAGCTAGCAATTATTGAGAAATTGTTAGCAGGTCCTTATGCACAACCATTGTGGATGCTCTAAGACAGCTAGTAGTCCCCGGTTGGAATAAATTTTGTTTTATGCGGTAAGTTAAAGGTGTTTAGTGGGTCAATTGTGACTTGACACTTGAGGCATCTCTTTTCTCATGAATTTAGTACTGAGATGTGGCCAAGGGTTGAGCAGTGGCTCATGATCAGATCTACAGTAGAAAATTGACTTTTATGCTTTAAATGGGAGCAATAAATCAGATTTTGTGAAGGATGTCTATACTCTTTGTTTGTGTGTGGAGGATGTCTATACTGCGCGTGTGTATGCTTGCGTGCGTGCGTGTGCTTGTGTGAGTGTGTGTGTGTGGGCAGGCGCGCGTGAAAAAGGTGGATAAAGTATTGGACAAAAGCATAAAGTGTTTTTTTTTTTTTTTAAAAAAAAAGAAAAAGAAATCTTCTATTTATAAGTTATAACACTCTTGCAATACTCTTATAATTTGAAATCCACTGTGACAAGGCAACTGCGTGTTAATTACCATATTACGTATGTGAACTATATATGATTAGATAGGTATCCACGAAGAATTGGCTGATTTATTCTTATGTTACAGGCTCAGAAGATGTTCTGAAACTATGCTATAAGTGTAAGAAGCCTGGTCATCTCTCTCGTGAATGCCCAGAACTGTTTGAAGGTATATCACATGAGCATAAGAATGGGAAGCTTGAGAATCCTGATGAAGATTCAGCTATTGCTGCTTCTGAGATGGAACAGTTGGCAATGGAGGAGGACGATATACATGAGATAGGTGAAGAAGAAAAAGGGAAGCTTAATGATGTGGATTATTTGACTGGTAACCCACTACCGAATGATGTTCTTTTATATGCTGTGCCTGTCTGTGGTCCATGTAATGCATTGCAAACGTACAAATACCGAGTGAAGATAGTTCCCGGCACGGCAAAGAAAGGAAAAGGTATTCAGGCCATCTTCATTCCATTGTTTATTCTAATTGTTATGATATGCTCACCTTTAAACATCCATTAAGTAACTGAAGGCGCAGCCTATTTAAGTGATTAAGTCTTTCAGGTTTATATTATTTATATAATACCTTTCAGGTTAACTTAAGAAGTCAATTTAGGTGAAAACAGTTCATTCCACTTGCCTTACAAAAGTGAATAATATGGTACAGTTACTAATATCTTTTACGGAGTAGTGTTTAAAAGAAGTTTTAGGACATATATCTATGTAAGTGTTTTTCTAGCCACTGTAATTTGGAATCTAAAAGATATTATAACACCACGTGAACAGAAGCTACCATGCGAAAATATTGTATTGATCTTCATATGATTGCCCAACTTTTTTTTACGAGGGAAGCCTTCAACCAATATATGCTGTTGTAGACCATCTTTTTCATTGACATTAGTGGATTTAGTTGTTAACAGGAATTTCTTTGAACTTGATAAAATAGTTTTATTGGATCAGATGAATGTAGGACATGTTAGATCATTATGAATTTATCACCTTTCTAAGATCTGATGTACATCTCCTTTTTTTTAGCTGCAAAAACTGCGATGAATTTGTTTAATTACATGCCTGAAGCATCCAGCCGAGAGAAGGAGCTCATGAAAGCATGTACTGATCCTGAACTGGTTGCGGCTATGATTGGAAACTCAAAGATTACTGCTGCGGGCTTAAGTCAATTGAAGCAGAAGCAAAAGAAAGGAAAGAAAGCTGCTAGCAAAGCCGGAGGCTAGCTCCATCTGTCAATCTGGAGATTACTGCTGAGGCTGTCCTACAATGGCCACATGAATCTTGTTTTGTACAGAAAGCTGCACTTTAGTTTTGCTGTCATAGAATTTACTCCTGCCTTTTAACAGCCATTTCACAGGGTTGAGAAACTGACTATACAAACTCAGAAATTCTTACATACTTCAACTTCGCTCATAATCATAGAGGATCTCTTGTGGAGCTTTACATGAACTTTGTTGAGCCTGCAACACAACCAGGCATTCAGTGAAAATTTTGAAAGGATAGAATCAGCTAGGTGATGGGAATATGGTAAAAGTACTATAGAAATTATACAAGGATACATGAATTTGGAACTTGATGGAGTAACCTAAGACATAAATAAGAGCCTACTACTATGTAACAATGTAAATGCGGGAGTCATGATATTTCTATGTCGGCAATTCAGCGAACTCTAAAACTTTGTTGAAACTTGAAACTAACCAACTCGAGTTCTTTCATAGTTAGTTGAACTTCAACTTCGTTAATAGCTGCAGGCAAGCACCTAGTTCTAATGAAATGAAAAGCAACTAGCCGATTATGAAAAGCTTTTGGCATGTTTTTGAACAATTGATTGATTTTCGAAGAGTTGGAATTTGAAGATCTTGTAAGAATTAGCGAGTGATTGTTGAAAAATAATTTTTTGATATTGGTCCATACTATAGATTCATCAAGTTATTACAAGTTATAAACCTTTGGCACCAATGAGAGTGTTCCAATGAGAGTGTTCTTCCTATCGGTTTGGCTAGTTTATACGTAGTAGTTACGTTCCCTTGTGGTGGTTAGACTGCCAGGGTTTCCTTTTGTTTGGACTGTTAAAGCTTGCGATGCCGCATGTAATGGCTGCAGTTGACTAGAATTGCCCAATTATAAAGAATGCTAGTGCACAAATGTAAACAGTACTTTCCTTTAGCGGATTTTTTTTTTTTTTTATTTTTTATATTATAAAATAAAAATTGTTACACTTCTTCTTTTGATAACCTACTCCATTTAAATATTAACTAGTGGGAAAAAACTTGCGTGGACCTGGGATTTATACACACGTAACTGGTGTTATATTGAACATAGTGACCCTTATGTTGAACATAATGACCCTAATTTTAACATAGTAACCTTCATTATTCATATTGACCAGTATTTAAAATATTTCAGTAAAAAAAAAAAAAAACCTTTATAATACCACAATGCCTTTTATTTTAATACAATAACCTTTATTTATATATAGTGAATTTTTTTTTATTAATAAAACAACCATAATGTCTCTAATGTTAGTGATTCATAATAAATTATTGTGAACCAGGTTCATTTAAGAATTTGTATAACTAGTGAGTATCCCGGGCAATGCCTCAGTAACTTTTCATAATCTTTGTCTATTGAGAAATTTTTTAACGCCATAATGTTATAATTAATAGTTTGATAATTTCAACAAACACCTTGAGATTTTTGTCTTGGAAGTTTAAACATTTATCTAAATCTTTTACAAATTAATATTAAGACTTTATTGTCTTTTATTTGAATCATTAAACATTGATGTTGTATTGGAATGGTGGTTAAGTTTTCATTTTTCATTTCAAAAAGTGGCGTATTTGATACCTTATAACAACATTGTTTATTTTTGTAAACTAAGGGTTGACACGAATTAAAGCCTTCGCATAATTGGCACATAAACTTTCTTAAAAACGATTTTTAATAGATTAACAAATATAGATTTTCTTTCTTTTCAAGATCTCCACTCAAACTCATTACTACATTTTTTTTAATTATTCTTTTCTCTCTCACATTACTTACTTTTTAATAAAGTATTAACCCCACTTTTTTTTTTTTTTTTTTTTATAATTGTTTAATGCCCCAATGACCCCACTTACTCTTTTTATTTTTAAGTCAAACTAATTTGCCTAAAATCATGTGCCGGTTAAAATATAGTCCTCTTTGACTAATGCCCACACGCAGCATTAGAGCACTACCTCTTGTGCCATTGAATCTTGAGCTTGAAAGAGTAGTGAGGGTGAATCGAAGAGAAAAGAAGGTGAGAGATAGTGGAGCTACTTCAAGTGAGCTACAAGTGGTGGTTGAGTCCGACTATTCTAGTTCTAGTGAGTCTAGTGGAGACACCACTCCATTAGAATCACCAAGGACAAATTCTCCACCTCTCCACCAATTTGAAATGGCTCTTCCAAATAAAACATTGAGAGAATTTGGTGTTCCTCCACCATATCAAGAAGCATGCGGGACTGCTACTCGTGATATCGAAGCAAACAACTTTGAGATAAGGCCCGCCCTTATCACCTTGATAGAGGGTCATCAATTCTCCGAGGCAAAGCATGAGGACCCCATTGCTCACCTCAAACAATTCATACGGTATTGTAGCACCATGAAGGCGAATGGTGTGACCCCGGAGTACATCCTTTTAAGCATGTTCAAGTTCTCTTTAACGGGCAAGGCAAGTGATTGGCTTGATAGGTTGCCTCCAAACTCATTGAACACATGGAATGAGGTGACTTCGGCATTCCTTGGGAGGTTCATTCCTCTTGGGAAAACGGCGGAGTTGAGGTCCAAAATATCAAATTTCCAACAAGAGCCCGATGAGTCGCTCTATGATGCTTGGGAGAGATTCAAGAGCTATCAACAACAATGCCCACACCATGCATGGCATGGAGAATTGGCTCTTGCTCCATGGGTTATAGGTTTTGAGAGCGGATCGCATATTGTTGGATGGAGCATCGGGTGGACCAATCATGAACAAGCCACCCCTAGAAGCACTCAAAATCATTGAAGATGTAGTTTAAAACTACACCGATTGGAGTCCCGGCGAGAGGGGCATCTCCAAAAAAGGAGGAAGGTATGAGGTCAATGCCATTAATATGATTAATTCAAAATTAGATGCTTTGTCTTCTAAGTTTGATCAATTGCATTCCTCTTCCCTTTCCATTTCCCCACATCAAAATTCACATACATCTAGTTCATCTAATGAAAATGTGTCAATACAAATGATGTCTTATGATACATGTGGAGGTGATGATCATGTGACTTCCGAGTGTTATTTGCTAAATGATTCATGCTCCCCCTCCCCTTCCATGGAACACGTTAGTGCTATCAATAATGGTCAAACCAATCCTAGGTATGACCCTTATTCCAACACTTATAATGAGGGATGGAAACATCACCCAAACTTTGATTGGAAAGGGGGCCAAACCCAAGGAAATGGTCAAGGTCAATATAGTGGCCAAAGGAATATTCAAAATAATAATCAAGGAAACTATAGGAACCAAGGTAATGGTAACTATGTGTCAAATAACCAAGCAAACCATCAAAATGACAATAGATACCACCAAAAAGGTCAATACTCTTTTAACAATAACCCACCCGGTTTTAATGGAGGAAATAGACCTACCCTTGACCCTATTCCTCAACCCCCTCTCCAAATTCAAGCTCCCCCTCTTAAGTCAAGTCTAGAAACAACAATGGAAAAATTTGTTAATATGCAAACAAAGAAAACCAATGACTTAGAGGAGAGTATCAAGCAAGTGCAAGCCCACAATAAGATGCAAGAAACTCAATTAACTTAACTAGTTAATGCACTTAAAAGTAACAATCCTAGCACCACTTTACCTAGTCAAGCCATTGATCCTAGAGAACATTGTAATGCAATTATTACTAGGTGTGGGAGTACCATTGATGATACTCCACCCATGAGTTTGCAATTGAAAAGTGAGAGAGAGGAGGTTAAGGACGAGAAACAATGTGAGGTGTCTAAGTCAAGTGAGGATGAGATGGTTGTCATGAGTGAGTCAACCACGGTGAGCTTAACCAAAAATTATTGTGCAATTATCAAGAACCACTCACCCACTAAACTAAAAGATCCCAGAAGTTTCTCTATTCCTTGCTCTATTAAGAACATTTCCTTTGAAAATGTCCTATGTGATCTAGGAGCTAGTGTGAGTTTGATGCCTTTTTCGGTTTATGAGAAGCTTGGTATAGGTGGTTTGGTATCCACCACTGTCACTCTTTAACTTGCCGATCGATCCACCAAATTCCCTAAGGGTAAAGTTGAGGATGTCCCTCTTAAGGTAGGCAATTTCATTATTCCGGTTGATTTTATTGTGCTAGAAATGACGGAAGATGCCCTCACCCCTATCATCCTAGGCCGACCTTTATTAGCAACGGGTGGTGCAATCATAGATGTAAGGGAAGGAAAACTCACATTGAATGTGGGTGATGATGAATTTTGTCTTACTATTGATCCCAAGAAAGGATGTCCTTCTCCCACAAAAGATTGCATGACACTAGATGCTATTAGTGACAATGATTTGCATGATTTGCGAATGCTTTGTGCCACTAATCCTCTTTTTGATGTTCAAAATTCAAAGCAAGGTTTAGATAGGTTTGATGAGGTGATTGCTATGCTTGCTTGCCTCAAGACGATGCTTGAAGAAGGTGATTTCGATGCTCAAGAGGATGAAGAGAATGACACCAAAGCTTCCAAGAAGAAGAGGAAGCTAAGGGAAAAGCAAAGAAAAAAAGAAAGAAGAAGACGGATTCAAAGAAAATTGAAAATGAACTTGTTGTAGGTGTTAGTCATGAAAACAATTTGGTTTTGCTCATGATGGCAATTTGTAACAATGAAAACATTGGTGACAAAATGTTCTCGAAATTTATCCCACCTTGAGGATATTTTTTGAATTTGCGTCAAGCTATTAACGTTAAAAAAGCGCTCCCAGGAGGCAACCCGATTTTTTTTTTTTATTTAAAAAAAAATTGAGAGATGAGAGAGCTTGAACTAACACTCTAACAATTTGAGTGTTTGTTTGGTGTTTTGCTTTTGTTGTAGGTGATTTGCTAAGGGAGATGAAAAGGAGGCAGATTCGGCCAAAAAGGAGCGGGCGCTGCTTGAAGCTTGCATGCTCGCTCCTAGTTACTTCAAGAAAACAGAATCACCAGTGCCATTTGGAGCGGGCACTCCGAGAAGAGTGCGTGCCCACTCCTGATTGAAATAGCATAGGTAGGACTCCAGACCATACTTGGAGCGGGCGCTCCAAACCGAGTGCACGCCCGCTCCTCTCATCAGGTATTAAAAAAAATATAATAAAAAATTTGAAGAGAAATCAGAAGGCCGAAATACGAATAGGAGGGGGCGCTCCGAGTGTATAACACGCCCGCTCCACCAGTTGAGAAAGCAAGGCGGAATCTGAAATTTAGCTAGGAGCGGGCGCTCCAAAACCTCAGTATGCCCGCTCCTCCCTTCGATGGCCAGATCATAATGCATTTCAAATGGTAGGAGCGGACCCGCTCCTACCCAGCCATGTAAAAAAAAATGACTTTCCTCTTTTAATCTCTTTCTTTCATTTCTTACCACACATTTTACCCATCTTTCATACTCTCTCTCCTCTTTTACCATATCTTTCTCACTCTAAAACCCTTGCTCTTCTACCTTCTCTCTTCAAAATCATCATCAATCCTCCAAATATTTCACTCAAAATTCACAAATTCATA